AAAATCACATACTTCTGCTTTAGAATAATTCAAAACATATGCACTCACACACTAATTAAAAAATCACATAAAAGGAAAGAGTACTGAAATTACAGCACTTCTTCACAAAGTTTTTATTCACACAAAATATATATATACAAAACCTAATTAAGTGCATGAATTTTTCATTTCCTCTTCAAATTAAAACTAAATTCTAATCATTGTAAAATGTATTTTAACCATTTTTCTTTACCCCCCCAAAAAAAATTCAATATAACACAAGTAATTAAAATATAATAAAATGATTTTTAAAAATTAAAATATGCAGCTAGAATAACTTATCAATTACTCCTGTGCTATTAAAAAATGCAGCTGCATCAGTAGTTGTCTACATAAGCTATCACAGAAGATTTCTAGATGCTGCAAAAAGTAGCAGAAATACAGAAAATAAAAACACTGAAAAGAAAAAACTAATTTTAAGTCACTAAAAAATAAATGAGTGTATGTAATTATTTGGCAACAGTCAAATTTAAAACAGAGATAACTTATTATAAGTTGCAAAGTGCTAAATTAGTTAAACTAATAATTACAATAAAACTATTCACATACATTACAAATGCTTAAAATTTGGCAAAAGCAGAATGTTTTCTGTAATAGAAAACTGAATGTAATACACCTGAACACAATATTATTAAAAAAAGTTTTGTAAATATTTTTTAAAATGCAGACAAAAAATGTTAAATATAGATAAAAATGAAAAGAAATTAATCAAATGGTACAATAAAAAATTACAAACATGTAGTCAAAGCTCTTTACAGTATTATTTAAAAACTACACCACAACCCAACTCACATAAATTTACAGCACCTCACTATAGAATAACAACTGCATTACAAAAAGAGGGATTATTTTAATACAATGACACCTGCACTACAAAATTCTTTAGCTGAATATTCAGTTGTAGCAAAACAAGTAGCAGAGGATCACAGTCAAATATTTTTTTTAAAGGGCTTGGTAAGAAATCATTATGAAATTCATTTTGTTACAACATTTCAAAATAAAAAATACAGAATTAATATCAACTGCATAGAAATTGGGCATTTCACTACAAGTTACATTAATATATAAAACAAAAACAACATCAAAAAAAATTCTTGGAACTTCAATGTTAAATTCAGAAGAGCAGGTAAATATATATCATAAATAACATTTATTAAACACAGCAAAAATTCCATCAGACAAGTAAAAATGCATTTCAAGTTAATATTTCTCAGGATGCTTTTTAAAACTACCCTTTAATTTAAACGAGGCTTACAAGATTTCAAACACTTCATAAGCTGACTTCATGTTCCAATTTCTTTTAGAGAGACAGGCAGCAAAAAACATGTTACAGTTTTACAATAACAGATAACAAAGTGGCACATATAAAAACACCTACATATTATTTTGATTTATGAATTTGTTATCAAATGCATATGAAAATATTAACTGTAAACTGTCAGAAGAATAAATTACATGCTTAATCACAGTCCACCTATATACAATCTTTAAGAAAACAGACTGAACAGATATGGTCAATGCATACATAAAATACTTGAGAGATTACAACAAATGCTACAAGAAAATACAAGTATACATAGTTTGCACATCAAAAATGAAAACAGATCACACAAATGTCATTAAAGTGGCTATTTTCTTATTTTTATCAACAGACTTTAAAGAAATGAAATTTACCTGTAGTCCTAAAACTGCATTTATTTTACATTAAGTTTACAAATTAAGGGGCATTTTAAAAGAACACGAAAATTCTGATGCTTCAATAACACATTTTAAGTGGGAAGAAATGTTTGTTCAATTCAAGTGCATATATCAAACTCTGTGCATTATTTTGCACTTTCTCTCAATTTGCATTTTAAATAAAATCATATAAATTAAAATATTTTATCTACACAAATGCTTTTATTTTTAGATATTTAAATATTTTACATGAAAATTCTACAGAACATCTAAACACAGTTTGAAATTCCTACAAAAAAATTTGCTGCGGAAGATTTCAAATCAACGATTTGTTCTACATAGAAAAACTACATTTCAAGCATTACTACGCATCTGCAACATATTTTGCAAGGCTATCAGCACAAAAGGGATGTATTGCGTATTTTTCAATTAAAGTATAAGAAAAACAAAGCTTTTAGGGACACCATCAACCACAACATAATTCTTAAATTTTAAAAACAATTAAAAGAGTTTGCTGTATATAAGATGAAATAAAAAACATGCTCTTTCATTCCATCAAAAATGCAACAAATAAAAGTTATATTTTGTGTTTCATGCTCTTTTACACAGTGTTACAGACGGATTCACTATAACCAGAAACTTTCTCAAAAGATCTCTCTAATGAAATAACATATTGGGGGGGCAGGAAGATTTACATTAGAATTTAAAGGTAATAAAAAATTAGAAAAAATGTTATTACATTAAAAAAGTTCTCTTGGACTATTTATTCTATTTAATTTTATTAAAAAATGCATCTCTATTGTACAACTAAAAACGATATATGAAGCTAACATCATCTTCATAACTCTGCAAAAATATTTTAAAACCACCTTTAAAATTGGATAATTTTCAGATAAGAAAAATCACTGGAAGAACTTGTTTTAACCTACAGGCTATGAGAAATTGAAATTAATCATTCATGTTCAGACACCCTAGAACACAGCTATAATCTTTAAGTAACTAGATTCTTTTATGGAATAAATAGCTCTATTGCAGCATTACCTAATTTCAGCTATATAAACTGAAGGAATATTATGTTAATTCTTCAAGTTTACTGAAGTACAGAATGATGGTGCTATAAAAATATCAAGAACGCTTTTAGATGAGAGCATTAATGGTAGCAAAATATAGATGGAACATTTTGTATAAATCTTTAAAAACTGGAGATGCAATTATTAGCATTCATGGCTGAAATAAATGTAAACTTATGGACAATATTCACAGCAATAATGCACTCATAATAATAATTTTGAAACTAAGGTCAAGCTTATTAAGAATTTATCAAAATCTGACATTCAATCTTTTCCACTTACTAAATAATTTACACTTAATTTTCAGAGTGAAAAAGTTATGGTAATGAATCAAGTACTTTTACCCGTGACATATTTTGCTGCAAATTGAGAAAAAAAAAAGGTTTAACTCTTAGAAAAAAATAACACTTAATATATTCTTTCAGGAAATACTACTAAACAAAGTTATATACTTCATTTTTGCATAAATATAAAAGAAAAGTACTACTAATTAAACAGGTCAATGCACTTTTTCATTACAAAGCATAAAATCCCAGAATTTTTCAACAGCCAGTCACAGAATTTCGTTTTCGAAGAGAGAGAAGGGAATTATATACATATTTAATTCTTTGTGTTTCTAAATACTTAATAATGTAGTTAATTAATCTGAAATCTAATTTAACTGTTTACTTTTGAGCTAAATGAACATACATAACACAGCAATTATGAATAAGTGGCATCTACTTAGATCTTTCAGCTACATCATTACATTTTCTAAGTTTTATTCAATTTATTTCAAAATACTATATTTCTCTTCCAGCTCATTTTCCCCCCTTTCTCTCTCTCTCTTTAATCAACTGAAAACCATCTTCTGTTTGCATTTGAAATATGTCCTCACAATTTTTTCCCAAAGGTTTTGTGTGAACAAGGCTTCTTAAATTTTATGGAATCAGACCTAATTTTATCAGAGATACCATGTTTCACATTTTCCTCTAAGTGAGCATTTTCACATTAGAGCAATACTCCAGTTCTGACTGCTATAAACTGCAGCTGCACTTTTTGCATAACACACTTTGATCACACTAAACCTGTTAATGGCTGATGCCTTAAGACGAATATAAATATTCATTGAGTAGATATTTCACTTTACACACAACATTAAATTATAACAATCAAGAAAAACTTATCTAATAAATCAGATTTTGCAAATAAAAAGCATTTAATTGAACAAAAGATTATATATATACTACATTCCACTTGCTATTTAACAAAATAAATTCTATCAAACTCTCAATGAGATTTCATTCACCTGCACATAAATATATAAAATAATCACACATGAACAAAAATTTTAGAAATGGAAATATAAAAATTAATTGAAACCTTACTACTTTAAATCCAGAACCCTAATTTTGCTGCATGTGTTACAAAACCATATGCATAGTGTGAATCTTTAATGACAAAAGACCCATATGTGATGCCACCTCAAAATGATAAAAATAGTGCAGCTGTGCTCAAATAAATATTTAACAAATTAAACCAAATACAAAACTTTATTTTTAAGAATATTATTAAACAATTTAGATACAAAAAGTGCAAGAAAGGGTACTTAATAAAATACTAGCAACAGAATAGTGCTACCTAACATGCTTGCATTGTTCTTGCTAGCCTATAAAACATTCCAATTTAAATATACCTTAAGCAAAGAAAATGGCATTATTAACTTCCATTTTGACAGAATAAAATTAACTAAATACAAATTTTCCAGTACTAATAGAAGGTGTTATCTATTGCAACTAGTAAGCTACGATTTTGGATGGAAACTTACAAGTGCCTATCCTAGATCACTGAATAAAAATGCAAGATGAGGGGAAAACTAAAATTCAAGTGATCTAATTAAAGGCGTTGCTCCTAAAATACTTTTCAAACAAAAATGGGTGAGTGTTAAATTCTGATGATAAATGTTGACAATCTACACAGTAGTATTTAAAAAAGGCAACCTTTCTATAGCCTTAAAACATAGAACAATGTTTTTATACAATGTTTAATGTATAGCAACATAACATTTAAAACCCTCTCAGCGTTATGGCTGGAAAACTCTGTACAGAAGGTTGCCTTCCACATTCACTATACATGAAAATTTCTGCTAGCTTTTAATGTATCTGATTTCAGATTGGATGTATATTGGAAGAAAAGGAATCAAGGTACAAAATGAAGGAGTTATTTTATAATTAAAATAAAGATAATATCACTTATTCATGATATTTTGAGGAACTTTGAAATTTCAGGGCTAAACCCGTAACTCTCAGAGTTAATAAATTAGAAATGGGTCGAGCAAATATACAATTACAAAAAATTTGAATGATCTTACCATCTCATTTCAACAGCAAGCATCTAATTAAAAAAATATATATATATAATTCTTTCACTATATCAAGGCATCCTATCCTTCCCACCTACAAAAGGAAGGATAAAAAAGAGCAGATTATTGAACATTGTAAAAGTAATAGTTTGATATATAAAACTGAGGTTTTAATTAGAACTTTATTTTAATAATTCTGTGTTATGTAATAATGTTTAGATTCTTCTACAGAATTATTTTAAAGATTAAAATATGGGTCAAAAGACAGACGTAAATGACTAGGCGAAAAAAAATGTCATAACTTTTAGCCGGCCAGTAGGGTACAGAATCCAGTAATTAGCAAATGTACAAACCTCCACATGTGGCAAGACCGATGCAAGTCAAACTTTACTGGAAATAAAAGCAATATGGGAAATTGTTCACTGTTAGTTGTAAGTGCCATTATTCTGCACTAATGTGCATATGTGATTAGAAACATTTTTTATTAATTAAAATAATAATTCAAAGGTTTATAAAAATAGTTGATGAGGTATATTAAAAATCACATGAAATAAATGAAGTATAAATTACAAGCATCAGAGATATTCAAAAATAAAAAAGAAACACCCTAACAAGTAAAAACATCACATTTAAGGCATTGTATAACTTTAATTTGAGACTGTGATCCACAGTGAATAGCAATTAATTTGAGAAAGGGTAAACCAGGTCACACAGACATTAAATTAAAGATCTTATGAGTAATGGAATGACAACAAGTGGATAATGAATGTCTTCATATAGGAAAAGATTCTTGCTTGGTAAGAAAGGGATATCAAACAAGCAATAAAATCATCCTACCTGTTAATAATAGACCTTGCACATAAATTTTTGGGTGAACAACAACACATAAAAACTACAAAAAAATATCTGGAGTACGGCAGCAAGACTGAATGCTTACTTCAGCTCATTTAAAGAAGCATGCAGACTGATGCACCCCCCCAAAAAGCAAAATTAACAAAATGGGAGGGGATAAGGAAACCAAAGCATAGAAAAAGATTTAAAAAAAAAACAAAAACAAAAAAAAAACAAAGACTTGCCCAAAGTTCTTAAAACTTGAATTCTGTTGATCAATGAAAGATTGTCAGATGATTTAATGGCACCAAATTTTGCTTACAGTTAGATAATGCATGACGCATGGTCAGCAAGAGGTTAAAAAGAAACATTCAAATATCAGTGCATTCAAATAACTTTTACTTCAGACGGTGGATCTATAACACTGTCCAATTACTCTTACTTAAAAAGGTGTATCTTTAATACTGAGAGATAATTTTAATGACTCTGAATAAGGTCTACTTATCAAAGTAGACAAAGCAATGAATCAGTACACTTATAAAAAATTTCAATAATCATGTGACCCCTTTTGCACAGCATTCTCATAATGTAACATAATCAATTTTCCAAGACAGTAATTCTATGATTTTAAGAGAGAAAATTATATGGGTTGGTAAGAAGAGCATGATAAAGCCTTAAAACATCTACTTACTGTCAGATACATATCACATAAGAATGGAAGCCGTCTGAACATTGGCAAGAAATTAAAATACATAATTTTTAGAAATCTCAATGAACTGTAAGAAAAACATATTCATCAGAATCTCAGACCTGTCAAAAGAATAATGAGACTTTTCTTAGAATAATCAAAAACTGTTTCAGTTACTTGATTTGATCATGTTTCCTCCATGAAAAATTAACTTTATGATTTCTGCATGTAGATACAGATAAAGATAACTATAGATAAACAGCTATAGTTAGCTGTAAACATGTATAATATATATATATGTAATAATAAAATTCCATAGTTAAAACTACACCTATATTTCCAACTGTATGTTCTTCATTTTAATGGCGACGGTCTCTTATTTGAAAGTACGTGGAATTAAATCCACAGCCCCGTAGTCAAGTTGTTTTTCACGCCTTTTCTACACGTAGAGTTATAGAATGTTCTGGAGATATTTAGCGAACTGGAATGGCTGATGAGGCTAACGTCATTTCTTGGAAGCTCCGCCTTTTCAGAGGCTATAAAAAAACTCGCAAAGGAATACCGAGGTCTTTTCTTTAATGTAACGATGCAGTAAACTTCATACAAAAAGTTATTATTAGTTCTTTTTTATTTACTCCGGAGATATTGATTTTTGTAACTGCTATTTCTCCTGACCAATAATAAATGGATCCTGTTTTTTAAACTTATCGTCTGATAATTTAAGCTACGACTAAATCTATGATTCTTCACCAATCAATTTATTCCAGACAAAAGCTGGTACATCACATATATATATATACATTTTTATCTATAGCTGTTTATGCATGAAATATGTTACTGCTATTATAACACTAGAAGGTATAAAGATTTCATATTCAAGGATATCAGGAAATGCAAAAGAATTGAGAAAATATGCTGTTTCATGTTTCAGTATCAATGCTGAACACGAAAAAGAATACTAGCAAGAAACTGACCATAATTCAATTAAGACATTATAAATAAAATCCTATAATTTGTCTTGGTACTTTAAGTAATATGCAATCTTGACACTCAGATTTTAAGACCCATCAGAAGCACCATGTAATGCTCTCAGTTTGTGCTGCAAACTGCTGACTGGTATGCATCTGCTAAAGTAGAATATAATGCTCTGTAACTCATGTACATCAAAATGAGCTAATAATAGGCAAATTAGTTCTAATTTATATTTTATGTCAATAAATAAATGGTTAAAATAAACTTACAATATTACCTATAACTATAGAAAGTGATGACTACTTTCAGAGGTAATCTCAACAAAATATAAACAATAAACATTTCTGATTTTATTTAAAATAAAATCGAAAAATTCAGAATATGTTTCTAATTCAAATGATTCATGTCACAGGCTTTGCTTTATAAGAACATTTCTCTGTTGTTGATTTTATTAAATGTTAGGCTGCAGTTCTTATATGAAAGATGAATGATATATTTGAAATGTGGAAGGCACAGGAAGATTGCATAACACTAAAATGATACTTAAAATATAATAAACGAACTTGGTTACAAAAGCTGAGTAAGTTCTCTTATTTACAATGTGAGATATAATTTTAAATTGATTGATTCAAAAGTTATATCTACATTTTACAAATGAGACATAAATTACTTTGCTGACAAACAAAACAATAAATCAGTCTGTTGAGATAAGCAAACAATCAAAATAAGTCATTCTTTCATTTGAAATAAACTTAAATACTAGGGGAAACAGAACTATTATCTTTTCCCTAAATAGAAACAAAAACTCTTTTTAATTCTTGTATGTACAATTCTAACACAGAGTTATTTATATCTGTATACCTGATAAGCTTTACAATATAATGGGTTAAAAAAAATGGTTGTATGATGAATATTTCATTAATCCTTGACCTTTACTTTTATTTTAAAAAAATATGGTTGCATGATGAACATTTCATTAGTTCTTGACCTTTATTTTTTACAAATATTTCTGAAATACAAAATTAATGCACTGTAACTAGATTTTAATCACTTGTTTTCCTTGAAAGATCTCAAGCATGGTTTAGTAATTTTATAATTCTGCATGCCACAAATATTCTAAAGCTCATAATTATCATAATCAGCCTCCTTCTTTACTCTAACGATTATTTTATTCAAGGAGGATTACCTACCCATTTGATAACAAAATATTATTTTTCATCATGCATGCATAATGACTTTCACTGATATAAACATGCTTTAATAATGACATATTACACTCGAGCTTGTCCATGTAACACATGCAACAAATTACATATTAAAACATAGAAAATTACAGACAAAAAATTTTTCTTTCACAGCAAACTATCCATCTGACCTAACTTCATCAACAGATGAAAATCATTTCAATATTCACTAGCTATAAAATCCGTAATGATAATTTCATTTTCAATAATTCATATACTGGCAAAAATAAAATATTTTACATGCCTGAGAGAAAAATACAAAATGAATATGCCCAACATTTGTCAGTAATGCATGTTACTAATTGTAATACAACACAATTTTAAATACACACATGTTAAAAATACTTATCAAGCACTCATAGCCTTAAAATGTTTACACATATTTACATCTCCATAAAAATTAAAAATATTAGTAATGAAATTTTATACAATTTACACATTGCATTCTGACACCTCAGAATAAGTGACTCCATTAAATACAAAGTGGTTTGGCCAACAGGCTGTTAAATGCATTAGCACCTGATGGCAAAAGATTTTTTTTTTCCTAGAATAACAGTGAAAGGTCAGTACCCTATCCTACTTGATTGATTCTACTTTGATGATGATTGCACCATGATAAAATTTTGCTCATATTCTAGAACCACTGTGTAACGTTTTAACACTATTACCCTGTATGAAATGAAAACCAGACTAATCATGCCTGTAAGACCCAAGAAAAAGTCCATTAATTAGCTTACTGAAAATGCAGTGCTAATAAATATTAACTAATGAAAACTAACTGAAATAAATATTCTGTGAACAGCTTTTTACACATTTTAAAACAATTTACTTGAAACTCTTTCTGAACTACAGCACCGAACAAAATTCTAAAATTAAAAAAAAAAAAAAAAAAAAAAGAATAAATAATAAAAATACAATTTCCAGTAAAATCAACAAAATTTCTTTCATAGTCAAGATGATACATGAAAGCTAACATACCATTCAATGATTATGAACATAAAATTTTAGGTTCTTTTAAATGCTGCAGAAGTATCAATGAATAAAAAATTAACCAACTTATACAATGCAACATGATTTGACTAGAACTACAACTAATACGTAAGACTGCCAAATACACTTTTGAAGATCCACTCAGTGTAAATGTGAATATCTCAATACACTTCTACAATAAAGAAAAACTAATCTGCAAGAATATTTATGACATTTGCTTAATACAATAAGCAAAACATATTTTCTTTAAAATGTAATATCAAACCACTCTTTTCATAGGTCCCCCATTTAAAAAAAAAAAGTGAGAGAAGAGCTACAGAAAAAGCCTCTGAATTGTAGCTGGTAATTCAGAAATTGTGACCTTAAAAGATCTGCCCGCTTGTTTTTAGAAAGATACAATTTTCTCTCCAAACTAATTTTTGAGCCATTAATAGAAAATGAAATTAATAAAAATACTTCTCCCTTTAACTGTTAACCAACAACAATGGCCAGATTACTTTAAAAATTATTTTCTATAACTAAAAGGTACTTCTTTATCTCAAAACTGATCTTAAACAAATCCATGATAAGTGAAAGAATGTTGAATTATAACATTTTTTCTTATTCAACTAGCTTTCAACCAAATAAAGAGAGTTGTCGGTATATTTTACCAGAGAGACAGTCAAGCTGTCTTAGATACATTCCACAAGTAACTGAAAAGTTCATGCCATACCGCAATTCCACAATTAACAATTGCATAAGAGATCACTTTCCATAACCATTGTCAAATAATAATATGCGATATAGAGCATTATATTTGATTAGAATTTAGAAATAACTAACTATCCTTACGCTTATATCAATTCACATACACAGTACTACTATTTATTCAAGTAAAAATATTTTACCTCTTACCATTGAGAAAATTTAAAAGATTGCCTCAATTTACAGTCTTATAATGTTCTACAAAAAATACTTATAAATCAACCTTCAAAAAATGTTTATAAAGCTTGCAACCAAAAATAATACATACTTTCTGCAAGTGACATTTAAAAAACAAAATCATTCACAGAAATGTAGTGAGCATTCTTCAATAAATATGTAAAAAAATAATTTTAAATTACTTCCCCTCCCAATGTACACTTTGCTTAGATGCCTTTGTTAATAAAATGTAGATGATTATCAAAATAATAATATACTTTCTGAAAACACAGCCATCATAAAAAATGATATACAAGACTCAATGTTGCAAAATAAACACTTGTTAAAATTACACCTCATAGAATATGGTTCAGAAATATATAAAGTGCCATAATAATTTGAAGATAACAACTAGTTAATATCATAAACCCCAGATAGAGACTCATGAAAAAATTTAATCAAAATAAGTTACACAAAAGTCTAATGTTAAAACTAGAGTAAAAATGAAGTTTTTTAGAGCAGGATACACAAGTATTTCAACAAAAACGAAATCAATAACAATGCAAATTTTAAGCACAACAAAATACTCAGACTTTTAAAAAGAGGTATTTAAAAATATACACATTCTTTGGAACCACATATGCAATTTTTTCAACAACTTACCAACACGTTTTCAATTAATAATCTACTAAAAATTTTCGTTAATTAGTCATACAGAATTACATTTAACTTTTACATATAAGTACACCAAACACTGACTGCTTATATCTGTAAAACTGCATAGAATATTTTAAACTAAAAGTAATAATTCCAATTCAGATTAATACAGTACATTCTGAGATATAATACTGTGAACAAGAAAAACAATGACAATTTTCTTCATAGCACTATGTCACACAAAACTGTAAACCATCCACTTCTGTTTAAAATAAATGAAAAGATACAGAATATATCATTCAAAGACATTTATGATATAGGCGATGAAGGTGGAGAAGAGCTGCTTGAAGAGTCGACACTATCCGGACGCCTTGTCTGCGCTATTTTTAGCCGAGGAGCATCTATTTTTGCATCCTCACAAACATGAACTACGATAGCAGGTTGTGATTCTGATGGTGGATGCAATTCATGAGCTTCTCCTAGGAAATCAGAATGTTTAAATAGCTATTTATTAATAGTGTGCATTAAGTTTTAAGGATATTTACAGAATATGATTAATGTTTCTAACATTAACATTTTAATTATTAAGTGTTTATAACACCACAAGACACTACAACAACTTACAGTACAAAGTCTTCAATCCGGACGTCCATAATCCCAGAATGATCTATAATCCAAACCTCAAAGCTACAAACTTTCTGCACATGCATAGCATTTACACATGCGCATATGCATTTATGCATGTGCATAATACGTTTACGCATGCATGTTTAATGTATAACGAACGGTATAAGCTAGGCTAAAATTATCTAATTATCTATTTCAGTTAATGTTGCAAATTGCATTGTTCCTTAATCTTCTAATTGGATCCGGCTTATTATTTTTTGCAGACTGTTAGAGCAATTTTATAAAAAATAAGCTTGAACTTTTGATTATGTCAAAAAGAGTTTCCGATTCTGGAGCTGCCACAGGATCCACAAAGCGAAAGCATGTTTCGATGTTCATCAAACAAAAAGTGGAATTGCTGCAAAAAATGGATAAAGGCATGAAGAAAGTAACAGAGCGGTTAGTGAAAACGAAAAAATTTCGATTGACAAGTTAGTCGGTATTCTTGGCACAGCAATTACAGGACTTGAACAGCGAAACTTTGTAACTGAACAAGAAATTATGTCTGTTTATAAAATTAAAGAGAAAGTATTAGCACATAAAATGAAGCAACTTAAACAAATTGCATTGAAAGAAATGCTTAATAAAGTAAACAAATAAATATTAAGCTTTTTTTTTTGTGTAAATACTGATACTCTTTAGATCATAATTGCTCTTTATTTCATAAATTATGGTTTCAGATTTTTAATTTTATAATTTCTGCATGCCATCTTACCAGATTTAAATTGATGATCTATAATCCGGAAAAACCCCTAATCCAGAATCGCCGAAGTCCCAACAAGTCCGGATTAAAGACTTTGTACTGTATTTATAAAGGCAGTGATTTCTCAAACATCAATTACACTGAAATTAAACATACAATTCTTGGTCATGATAAAATTAAGCTTGAATAAATTATTTTGCAATAATATTCACTGGGTTTTCTAAAAAATAAATAAATAAATAAATAAATAAAAATAAAAAAAAAAGATATTAGCAGATTTGGCTGACAAGTTTATTAGTTCAGTGCCTTCCGTGTCAAGAAATTCGTCAATCAGATTTACTCAATGTAGACAAATACAGAAATTCATCAAAAGAAGGATAAATATGTATTTACAGCTAGAAACTTTTGTATATGATTGTAAGACTTCATCTCAATAACTTTGGACAAATACTGATCCTCTGTCAAACAGGTTAAGTTGATATTTAGTTTACCTTTTCCTTATTCCATGACAAAATAAATCAGACTGCTCACATCATGAAATATGAGTATTTTCAAGTATACAAAGATAATTTCAGACACTAGTTTATATTTAAAATCAGTCAAAATTGTAAACATAATATGCACAAAATGTTCCCTTAAATTTAATAGGGCTATTTATCGAAAACATCTTGGAGAAAATAATGTAAAACGTTGCCATCATAAGAAGAAAGAAAGTAATAAGAAAACAATGTAGTTCTACTGCATCATACAATTGAAAATACACCATACAAAATACTGTGGTTAAAAAAATAAAGCACCTAAGAATCATTGCATGTGATAAACACTGCATGCATGCATTTTTTTTACTGTAAATATGTGAAGTGAATTTTCATGCAATGATTTGTGAGTATAAAATGAAGGAAGTCCAGTAAAATATTTGAAATCCAGAAGTTCAATATTCAGATTGTCCTAATATCTGAAAAGGATGCAGATGCACTGTAAATGTGATTTTTCTCTAGATTAACTGAGATTCCAGTATGTCATTTTCAAACACTTGCTGGCTAGAGAGTTGCACCAAGGCCAATTACAACGTGCTGACTGACATTGTATTGATGTTGACCAGGATCATACTTTCGACTCTTGCAAGGTTAGGGGGAAAAGTCAGCGGCTACACACTTTGCTGCCCAGTGCAATCTCTGTGGGTTCTAAATTTTACTATCCAGTAGCTTCATAAGTTCTGGTGCTCAGTGCCACTCTTAAATTCTAAAAATTCTTCCATCCCTAATTTTTGCTGCTTGGTGATCCTCTAAATTCTAAAATTTTTTCTTCCCCTAAATTCTCACACCCAAAGTGGCTGCACCAGCTACTTTTACCCTGGCACTGACTCTGTGGAGGATAGCAGTTTTCTGGTGCTTCTTTAAACTCTAAAATTTTTGCCATTTCTAAATTCTGACACCAAATGGCCTAAGCAATAAGTGAAGTTCCTATGTTTCCATTTCTGTATGATACCTACCTAAATTTAAACCAATGATCTAACCTGGAAACTTCCAAAATCTGTAACTGGCAAAGTCCTAATAATTCCAAACCTCAAACTTTGTATTGTAATACTTTTACCTTTACATTTCACATTTTTTATTTAATTAATGAACTTGTACATAGAAAGCAAAGACATTTAAGCATTTAAAATCTTGAAATTATATAGTAACGCTACATATAGCAGTAAACAGAATTTTATGAGCTTGCATCATTAACTATTAAAAGTCATTATTTAATTAACTTCTTTAATAAAGATGCATTAACAGATTTTTCACGAAAAATATAGTATAAAGAAGATTAGAAGGAGGAAGATACATAAGTTTAAAATTGTATTAATGCTATATATAATTAAATTTGATCAATTTCCAGATTTCAAATGCTTAGGTTTGCTTTTTGCTCTTTTTCTGTAAAAAGTTATTACTTAATAAAAAAATTTGAAACACAGAGGTTAAAATTCTAATTTTTTTTCTTCTGCTCACAAATCATTACGCAAAAATTTATTAAAATTTTTTTCAATCAAAAATATGTATGCATCATGAAATGATTAGTATGAATTTTATTTATATCATATTTTTACAACCCTTTTCATACTTTATCATATTTTTACAACCTTTATATTTTCAGCATTCAAAATTAAGTTTTTTCCCATCTTTATTTTCTACCACAATGTTCTCTTCTCGCTTTCTTTTCTATCACGATCTTTGATAAGACGTTTTCCTCTTGCATTCATTTTTTTCATGATGTTTTTACCAGTAACCTTAGCAGTCTCAATGAATATAAGAAATGATTCACAATGATGTACATTAATTCAGTTGTAATGAACCAATAATAATACTTATGAAGTTTACTTCTAAACAGCATTAGTAAGATTAAAAAAATTAATTTAATCAACAAAAAAATATTAACACAATGAAATTCAGATATAAGACATACCTGGCGAAAGCTTGGCAAGAGCAGCAAGAAGATCATAATTAATACACGGCTGAGCTTCATCAACAGGTTCCCAGCCAACAGGAGGTGATGCAGGAGGGGATATTAGAAACTGACGAACAGGTGACGGAGGTTGAAGATATGCATCTGAAGCCTCTCCATCTTTATTTCCAGTAGAGGTAATAGGCTTCAATAAAAACATATATTTAAAGATAAATAAATGACCAACAATACTATGAATTCAACCAAAAAAAAAATAAAAACACTGAACGAAGAGCATTCTTATCTATGACTTTCAGAAATTTTTGTTCAATAATCATTGCTTTGTAAGATACTTATGCTTCATATTTCATTTTTTATTACCGAGATTTCCTACCTCTTCAGATAGCAGTACATTTTGAACATTCCATACAATTCATTCAAAATGAATATATTACACTTAAGATCACACAAATAACAAACAGTGCAAAAAATATTATCTTACACAGAACAAATAAGGAATTTCATAAAGGAGGTAGATCACATACACATTTTAAACTTTTACATCATTTTAAATCAAATTTCTTGAATGATAATTATGCAATGTGCATAAAACTAAGGGTTAAATGAAAAGCTGACATGAGGAAACCTTTCCTAAGCAAGGACACACATCAACTTGTTTTTACTCAATGGTATTGAATCTGTGAACTCTACGATTTTAATTTTCGACTTGCATTTTTCATTAACATAATTTGCTTTCCTCAGCATTTGAAACAGAAAATCTGTACTAATAATTTCAATAAAACAGTTCAAACTTATTCAAAAAGACAAACATATGGACTTTTTAAACAGTAATTAAAAACTATTTGAAACAATTTTGATTTATTAGATTATAGCAAAACATTAAAACAATTTTGATTTATTAGATTATAGCAACACATTACTAAGCCCATCTCCTAAGATGAAGAACACCTCTGTGAATGACTTCCTACACTAAACTGACTCATATTCACAATGCACACAGAAAAACTGAAAACACCTGCTATTTAAAAGAACTGGATTGGATCATTTCATTATGACAAAGCATACTAGGGTTTTGCCTACAAGATGGATGCTTATAAGAAAGAATGCATTCTTAAGGGAAAATAGCCTGAATATATTTCATATAAGGAAAATTATGAACACCTAATGCACCTAACCCATTTAACTGCCAGAAATATAACTACCGATGTTCCACAGTTTTAACTACATAGCCAATGGTCTGCTGTATTAGCCCATTAACTACCAGAAATAATGCCTAGGTTTAACTACTGATGTTTCACAGTTTCAACCACATAGCCAATCATCTGCTGTATTAGACAGGGTGATTTAAGTTAAAAATGACTGTACAGTGTGGTAAAGCCTGTCATTGTTTAAATTAAGTCTGAAATATGATAAAACAATGATTTATGACTTGCAAATGAAAACTATATTACAAAATTTGAATTTGTCATTGATGCTATTTACCTAGAGCAAAAATGTTACTATTTATACAACTACAGTTTTGACAAATTACACTTTCATAAAAAGAACACTGTTGCCATTAGAAATTGACATTATTTAATTGAATGAGAATTATTACTGTATATATTATACCTTATTATGTTACTATGAATGTTACCATGAATCATTCTTGGAAAGCATTCCTACTACTTTTATTTCTTAATTAAAAACTAAATTACATCCCTCATTATGATATATTTATGTATGAGTCTATCCACTAACTGAATAAGAATACACTAAGCCTAAAAGTTAAGTAAGAAAGTGAAAAAAGAAAAGTATTTCAGTTAGTCTATATTTTAGGGTGCCTTGGATTATTGCCAAGTTGTTTCATTCAAAAAAAATAATAATAAGGAAATCTGTATGCAGCTAATCCATTAGACTGGAACCGAACTCAGATCGAAGCACCAGCCTTCAACAGTTTGTTCCATTCCCCCACTAGTAGGCTAAACAATATTAATGTTACATGTTTAGATTGAATAAATAGCCGCGATCTAGATTCAGTTAAATTTATATTAATGTTTAATGTGTTTAGTGTCTTTAATTAATATTTAATGTGAAGTTGAATTAATATTTAGTGAATCATCGAAATTTGTTATTCTGCTTTCACCACTGCTGTTTAAGCACTAGAAGGAATGCTTTTCTGTGTCAGAAAAATTGCTCTCATATTTGAAGGATATTTTATTTCGGCTTTCAATCTATAGCCATTTATAATGAAATATAAACCAGAGTAGGATATACCGAAAAATATATACAAGAGTGGGAAGATAACCACAAATTGTTGTTTCATTTATGGTAACCTAAGTAGTTAAATGTTATGGAAACCCTATTATGATGTGATTGGCTGCGTGATTGCGGTGAATTTGACTGATGGGAAAATATTTGTAAGGGCTTATTTCTGCATTGGATTCCAGTAAGGAAGTACGCTGCTTATTTTGTTCTATACACCATAAAATGGCTGTATGTGATGAGATTAATCTGACATTTCTGTACAATTTGGAACAAAAGGGGGGAAAAAAGCATTAAATGACTGGTGTGTAAATGAAGGTTTACTTAGTAGTCATTATAAGTGTCCTGTTTGTATGAAGGAAATGCGTATGGTCAAACGTAACAATTGTTCAGATGTCTTTGAATGAGTTTGTCGCAAGAAAGGTTCATGCAAGGAATGCCACAGACAGTCCGGCACTACGCAGGATATTTTTTACTTTTATTTTTATGAAGTTATATGATGACAACAGTATATATATTCTACTTCAGATAATTTTAGAAAGTTTTTGGATACTGTTAAGGAATTTTGTGTGGCACATACTGAAGATATCCCTTTTTATGTTATTTCATTGTGTGATTTAAAATGAAGTTTATTGAGCTTCAATTGGCTACAAATTTTGTTCCAATATTGGTGATGAGTAACTTTGTTTTAACATTATATGACGTCATCATTCTCCTGACTTTTTTTAAAAGAAAATAGATCAATGTGTACATGGACAAAGTCAAGCAAGTGAGCAATGCCAAGTTTGTGCAATTCTCTGATTTTTTTTTTTTAAGAGAAAATAGATCTATATGTACATGGACACCAAGTTTGTGTAATTCTTTACTTGTTATTTTGGTTTTGTGTAGCGGCCATCTTGAAACTGTTCCTTGCTGGCCAATTTTCGCCAAGGGGCACCCTGAAATATATTTTTAATAGTATTTTCTATAATTCACTAGAATTTTCCCAGATACCTGGATGTAACATAAAACACTACTTTGAAGAAAACTGTGCGGTGGGAAGATCATCAAATACCGTATTTGACGGCATATAAGACGCATCCTTACTTAGAAGGCCACACACAAGGAAAAATAGTTTCAATAGTCTGTGCGAACAATAACTTAAAATGTGATTTCTTTTAGTTCTAATGTTTCGTAAAAGTCAAATAAACAATCATTGAATGCAATTACCAAACATATTTTTATTAAGGAAAATTACCGAACTGCCTTGCTGAAATTACTGAAATGCTGCTGGTGGAACGAAATGCCTTGCTGCTGCTCTGTTTCCATGCACTTTGGCATAGTTTAACACTCCTAGTTTATACTAAATTGTATAGCTTAATCTCTGGTTTCCTGTAGTCATATTTTCCAGGGTATTTTTTTAAACAAATAGTTTTAAGCACCAATACCGACACGTTTATACAGAGTAGCACCGATACCAACACGTGTGTTGGCTAAGTCAAAGAAAATCTATGTAAAGAAAGAAAGGCTCCATAGCCGTAATGTGACCGTCGAACCTGCTCAAACTCCGACATCAGCTTCGAGCTTTGGTGCTTTTTGACGACAGATATTTCATGCATGCGCAAAATAATGGCAGATGTAGAAAAAGTTATGTGTGTCTAGACATTTATCCAGGCTAAAAGTAGCATTCAGTATTGAAAAGTTAACCTGTGTCCTTCACGTATAAGATGCAGGTAACTTTTTTGAGACCAAATTTAGGAAAAAAAGTGCGTCTTATATGGCGTCAAATACAGTAATTAAATAACTGTAGTAAACAAAGGATTTTGTGTAAGGAAAAAAGTTCTGTCTTCAATGAATGACCTCTGCTGCAGCACAAGCCTTATAGCATCAACTCATGCAAATGATAAGATCATGCACAATGGGTTGAGATACCCGAGCCTTTTTAATGCAGCAAACACTTTTTTTACTCATAAAGGTTCTAGGAAGAGTCATAGAAAGAAAACAAATACCATTTACAAATGTTTCATATGTGTTTTAGGAATTCAAATCAAGTGATATCCATTGCTATTTCATAAGAAGTATTGTGTTCAATTCTATGAAACTGGAAAACAATGTGAATCCTGTGAACTTGCATTTATTATCGATAACATCAGAACAAACCGCCACAAGAAATGGGCAAAGATACTGGGCAAGGATGTGGTCTCTAAATAGCACTTCAGTCACAACCACTTACAGGTATCTGAAGAACAATGCAATCACTGATTTACCTCTCCATGCCTAAACCCATGCCATTGCCACTGGATGCATATAAATAGCAGAATCATAAGTTTCCGGTGTTCTGTTGATCAGCAACCATCAGGAATCAGTCTATAGATTAAACCAAGACTCAACATGTAAGCAACACAACATCTCACTACTGTGAAGTCAGGCTAAGGTGATCTTGAGATCAGTTTAAACAGGTTCCTCTTTACAATGATGTCAATAAGATGAAAACTATTTGTTGTCTGGCCTGCATGCTTTTTTAGAAACTGCTAAATCAGAAACAAGCTGATATGCAGTTACTGACCAAGGGCAGCACATTTTCAGACACAAAAAGCCATCATCCTGAATAGTTATCACCCCTACATATCTCCTTACTGGTCTTCTAAACACAGTTTGCTTCCACTGGTTCCACAGGCAGCAAATGATGGAATGATACGCATTCAGGATTCATGCCACTTTTCACTATCCTTTTCAAGATGCCATTCCATCATCTGGCATCATTCAGATAATGTAGTTTTCTTATTTTTCAAAACTTGGCTAATTAAATTTTTTTTCAACTTTGATCTTTCCGGAAATAGTATAATTCTTAATAATTATAAAATTCTATATCTAAAAAATAACAAGCAAACAGCAAAGCTTATATCTGAAATATTATAGTTATTGCCTTGACATCAAAATATACAAAATAAAAATCAGACACTGCTTTCTTGACTGTTAGTTAATGGAAGAAATGTAGTTATAGAAGCAGCTATATAAATAGGCTTTAAACAAACACTCAGAACCAGGAAATGTCTTCAGCACTACCTAACAGCAAAGAGGCTTTAGGTATCAGCTATGATAAATATTACTATGCACAGAAAAATCTAAAATAAAATCCTAAAAAGTACAAATTTACAGCAAAATGTTTTGGATTACCACTGACAGTTGTTTTATAGTTAACTGAAATTTTTAATTTAGAAAATTTTAGTCATTATTAGTTCAAAAACAGTCTGATTCACATATTTTGTCTTGATACACCAACTCCCTGAAAAATTTAAAAGAAAAAATGTATTTGGAAATTTCAATTCTTCTTTTATTGCATTTAATTTAAAATTTGTGCACTTGTTATCCATTAATTTTTAAAGCTGGACACATTTTCTTATTCATTGACAATGTTTATTGCTTTTTCAGAACAACATATTTACTTATTACCAACTCTGTCATGTTGAAAAAGTGTTAAATTTAAATTTTTACATTTTTTGAAATAATAATTGTGAAAATGTCTTTCTCATCAAAATTTTGGAAGCTTCTGCAATTGATGGAAAAATCTTGGATATTACATGAATTAAAAATAAACTAAAAAGTTAATCAGAAGTTACAAACATATCCACATACAGTTGAATTATGATAATCCATATTCTACAGTTGTGCAGATTAGAGGATTTTCCAGACTGTACATCACACCTTTCTGAATTTGGGTTACATTTCTCCTACTAACATTTTTATATTAAATTTGGATTGTTTGTACATAAGTAACTACCAAAGTGTCCTACAAGTCATCATTTACAGATTACAAAATTATTACACATTTTTAATGCAATTATATGCAAAATATTAATAATAAATGCTGCTATGGGGGAATGTAGCAAAGAGAAAAAGAGATAAATGAGAAGAAAATGCTTTGAGAAAGTACATAAAAAAGCATCAAAGTATATATGCAGTGTCATCAAAGTAAGAAAAGGGGGGAAAAAACTTGAAAATTACTTCTAAAGTCATTTTTATGCTGTTAAACAAAGTAAAAAATAAATAATTAATAATTAATTTTAAGAGATAGTAAAACATGTATTGAAAAGGAAGGATTTATTTAAAAACAAAACATTTGCAGCTTCATAATCCAACACTCAAACAACAACAACCAAAAAAAAAAAAAAAAAAACAGTTCTGATGTGCATGCAGAAAATGCTTAAAAACTTCAATTAAAAATATATTTGCTTCTTTAGTCAAAATATGTTATAAACACAGTCATTTTATTAAAATGTTTGCTTATGTACACACACACACATATATACATATCCCTTTCTACATACACACACACACACACACATATATATATAAAGAATAGCTATTAAATTTACCATGCTGAATTTTCTGAAAATGGAAATTTTGTTTCCATCTACGAGTAAAAATAAGCATAGATAACAGCTATTCATAAATTAAGTATTTGCAGATCATCAAAATTCAACTGTATAGTCAAGTAAATACAGTAATTTAACAAGCTGTTATTAAATATATTTATTTACCTGTGCAAAGTAGCAATTAACTACACTATCACCAATTTTAGTCTGATGACACTGAATACGAGCTTTAGCTGCTGCTGTTGGATTTGTAAAATTCACACGTACTCTTCGAAAACTCTTAAAGTACTGAAAAGATGCTTCTTCATCAAACTGTTGAAAAATTTCTTCTAAATGGATCTGTAAAAAAAAAAAAAAAAAAAAAAAAAAAAAAAAAAAAACATGAACTTTTTAAAATACAATATATAGGCATTCATAAAGTAATTGCTTATACCTAGTTCCGTTACGTTGACCAAAATATCTTCTCTTCTTAGAAAAGAATATTAATTTTGCTTACGATGTACAAGTGCAAAAGAAGCATCGATGACTTTTGAATTATTGGCTTTTATTAGTATTATATGTAATGATCAATTCTCTCTCTCTCAAGAAGTACATTAAAATAATTTTTAATAGCAACTGCAACATACTATTACTGATTACTGTACAATACAGTCAAAAGTCGTTAATCCAGACTCGTCGGGACTTCGGCGATTCCGGATTATCGATTTTTCCGGATTATAGATCATCAGTTTAAATCGCGTAAGATGGCATGCAGAAATTTTAAAATTAAAAATATGAAACTGTAATTTATGAAATAAAGAACAATTATGATCTAAAGGGTATCAAAATTTACAAAAAAAAAGCTTAATATTATTTGTTTACTTTATTAAACATTTCTTTCAATGTAAGTTGTTTTAAGTTGCTTCGTTTATGTGATAATACTTTCTCTTTAATTCTATAAACAGACATAATTTTTTGTTCAGTTACAAAGTTCCGCGTTCAAGTCCCGTTAATTGCTATGCCGAGAATACCAACTAACTTGTCAATCGAAATTTTTTTCGTTTTCACTAACCTCTCTGTCACATTCTTCATGTCTTTATCCATTTTTTGCAGCAATTCCACAGTTTTGTTTGATGGACATCTGAAACATGCTTTCGTTTTGTAGATCCTTTGGCAGCCTCCAGAATCGGGAAATTCTATTTTGACATACTCGAAAGTTCAAGTTTACTTTTATAGTATTGCTCTTACAGTCTGCAAAAAATAATAAGCCAGATCCAATTCGAAAATTAAGGAACAACGCAATCATCAACATTAACTGAAATAGATAATTAGATAATTTTAGCTTATACCGTTCGTTATACATAAAACGCGCACGCGAAAACGTATTCTGCACTTGCGCACACGCAAATGCGCAGTCGTAAGAGGTCTTACGCTTACGCGTAAACGCCTATGCGCATGTGTCAATGCGGCGCATGCGCAGAAAGTTTTTAGCTTTGAGGTCCGGATTATAGATCATTCCGAATTATGGGTGTCCGAATTAACGACTTTTGACTGTACATACTGCTACTTTTACATTCCCATCACAATGTTCTTTATAACAGTCTTGCTCTTTAAAACTCCATTTCGGCTTAAAGAAGGAAGTCAATTCTAATTTACATAATTTATTTTAATTTAATGCTACACAAATAATTCTCTTTGAAAATCTCTACGTGAATTTAATTCTGAGAAGGGAAAAATTTTACAAAAAAAAGGGGGGTTGCCACTCAAACAGGAGAATGACATTCCCTGACTTTTCCAGGTGTGTTTCAAGACAATTCCAGGCTATCTGTGTAGGCTGTGCTGAGGGTAAATTAATTATGGTACTACTTGAAAACACAAAAATCTGCCAATTACACACACACACACACACACACACACACATATATATATAATCCCCAAAGCATTACTATTACAACTATAATAGGAGTTGTGTTCTCCACTGAGGATACAGATTAGAATCTGCGCAATCAGGATTAAAAAATGTCTTTTCTGCTGGCTGACATATTGCAGCTAAAGGAACAAAGAAATCTTATTTAATAATATTCTAAATTAAATTTAAGTATTTTATATTTATTTAGCAGCATACATAAGTAAAAAATATGTGCACTAAATTTCATGTGGTATGTCATCATGCTGCTAGAATTAGTTTCACAAATACGCCAGAGAAAATTACCTGAAATTTGAAAGTATTATCAACTAATAACAAATAAATTTAGAAAGCAGAAGCCATATCATATAATATGAATAACATTAAAATAAAGTTAATTACGTAAAGATTAAAAATTGAATTACAAAAATCGACAATACTTAAGTAAATGTAGATATATTAAATGATAAGCCTAGATGACTGATTATTTTTTTAATTTATTTATTTTACTGTAAAATGGCAAATAAGGCATTTAAGAAAGAACAGAAGGTTTCAAAAATTTTGTTTCATACATGAATCTGGATTCTCGTGGTTACTGGAAACTAAAGATGCTGAAAACTTGCTTTGCTTTTCTAAAAGACACTTCTGATTGCCGCGGTGAAAACTAGCTCTACTCCAGCTGTCCAAATAATGCTCACACGATACGTATTAGCCAAGAAAGTCATGGCATGAAAATCACTTTTTTAGAGATTACCGTATGAAATTCCTACCCTTTTCCAGATTTTGACTAAAGTACTTAAATTCCCTGACTTTTTTGGTCAGTTTTTGAATTCCCTTACTTTTCCCAGTTTTCTAGGTAGCGTAGCAACCCCGAAAAAAGATACTATATAAAAAACGAAATCCCCTTCATAGATACATTTTTTTAAAAACAACCTTACTTGATAAAGCTGCAATACTGAGTTTTGGAAATTTCTATCATTCTATTGAATTAAATTGAACTCTCATCAATTTTAACTTTTAAGCATATGTTAGGCATTTTATGTTTAAAATCAGAAACATTTCAGTATTTCATTGGAGAGTAAGACTTACTTTCTCCAGTTTTAGGTGCACAGTATAAATTAAATCTTATAGGTAAATAATTAATAATGGATTTAGTAACTACAGTTCATGTTTTTCACACGTAACTACAATATGCATTCTATATATTAATTAGATTAGCTGACAAGCTGAGAAGATTCAACATGTATAAGTCAATATTTGGGTTGAACAGAGCAACTAAATGGCAGAATTTAATTAAGACAAAGCATGCAAGGATTACATGCCAAGAGAGGGATGCCTTTGTGGAGGACTTTTGAAGAGAAACTGGCTCGTATTTCTCCTGCACATGAGAAAAACCATGAAAATGCTTATGCAGCTAGTCTATTAACCCATTTTATCCCGATTTTTTATTTTGTTCAAATTTGAAAAGAATGATATTTTCTAAGGTTAATTAAACCTAAACAAACTAAATATAACAAAATTAGAAATTTTTTTATATTTTATATAAGAAATCTGGCCCGTCCTCTAAATAGGACATTGGGATAAAGGGGATAAAATTTGCTCTTACATGTTTTTAGTGTTCTCTTCAATGATGAAAAGTTATTTCCGTGTACAAATTTTACTTTATTCGACTGGTGGAAAGGTCCAAAGCAAGCCTGACAAAGTGTTTTGCACATTTGCCACAGTATGTTTTTGGTTTTTCTTTGCAGCCCTCTCCTTGGCAATGACGCTGTTTTTCTTGCTTTAGTAAAAAATGACCAATACTATCTTTACGGATGTCTTCTTTTGCATCAGAAGGAACATTCTATATCCTAGGTCTACCTTTTGTTCTTATCACAGCTTCTTTTAGATAAACTGTTGTTACAGCTCTTCGGAACTCCTTCAAGTTTAGAGCTTCATTTTTGTTCAGAGTTTTGTGAATTATCCAGGCGTTTACCATAGCCATATCCAGCGAACGTATAAAAAGTGGCCAGTACCACTTTTTCCCATGAAATTTAATGGAAAAAAGTCCAGCCAACCAGTCATGGTGATCCACACCGCCCATATGTTTGTTGTAAGAATTAATCAAATTTGACATCTTTACGTTAACTTTATCTTTGTGTCCTCGCACTTGCTTCTTCAGATCAAAGAATGGTTCTAAAGTGCTGAAAGTTGTAGCAACAGTGACAGTACTATTATCATTCCATCGCACCAGGAAAATCTCAGATTTCTCGTCAAATGCGAAATCAGACATGTCTCTTTCTTTTAGAAACTCGTGGTTTATCCGATTTTCTCGTATGATTACTGTAACTCGAAAACCCTGTTCACCAAGACTTTTCAAAAGATAAATGCTAGTAAAAAGGTTATCAAAATATAAAGTGTAGCATGAAGGATTCACAATATTCTGTGTTAGTTTCATCACAAACCGAGTACCAAGAGGAGTATCATTCCTCGCATCAGATTCTTTACCGCATCTGACCAGTAATCACGTTCACAAGTATTTGAATCATAACCAGTTAGAAGCAAAATTCAGATAAAAACACGTATTTCGTTGGCAGTGGTCAATAAATCGTGTTCATTTTTTACATCTGTTGCATATCACAGAATTTCTTTCACAATGAGATCGTACACTTCACTGGAATAAAACTGCTCAAAAAGCTCTGATGGAGTTTTATCTTTCAATGCGGTTTCCATCTGCTTGAACAAGTCACTTGCAATTGATTCATTCTGTGTTTTCCATTTTGTATATTGTGGTGATTTATTCTTTATCCAAGATGACTGGTGTCTTTTAGCTTTTTTTCCACTCTTTGTTGTGGAAACACTAGAGCTTGTGGACGGTTCAGGCTGGAAACTATCTTCAGTTATAACCTACAGACACCCAGGAACATCGGTTACAATAATCTCACCAGTATTTACTCATTCTCATGCCCTTCATCTTCGTCAATTAGTTCACTGGCATCTGGTGGTAACACAGCAATTTCAACTTCGCTCTCATCTGAATCTAAACTATTGAATAGTTCTAATGCTTCCTCTAACTTCAGAAACCTTTGCACTGACATAACTCAGCAGTGGTGAAACACTAGAAATTTTTTTATTCTTATTTATAAAGAGGGAAAGAACACGCCAATTGCATACTTATCGTCCCATTGTCCTATTTAGAGGACAGTTAAAAAACAATAAGCTAAATCTCCCCTAATAACAATAAAGCTTTCATTAACCACCAGGATGATAAGGAAAGAGTACATTCACATACAAAATGCCCAGCCGAGTGTCCAAAGTAAACTGAAAACGAATTCTGCAACCACAAAGAGATGATACAAACCACGCCCACTAATGCGATGAATAAGCAAAATGTCCAGAGGAAGTAGGAGGAAGCGAGACACATAACTCACGCTAGCAGATGCTAATACATATCCCTACATATTCCAGCTGGCAA